TTCATCTTGAGTTAGAAGACCTTGGAGTTGCCGGTGAAGGCCGAAGGGATGAGCCGCGAGTCAAGGAGCTTGAGAATTCCATCGCAGGTGAAGGTCGTGGTTGTCAAAGCGTCGTTGCTGTGGAGAGAGAGAGAGAGAGAGAGAGAGAGAGAGAGATCTGATCAACAAAAAGGAAACTAAAGAATTTGGGTCATGCTTTTAAATAAAAAGGGTATAATTGTCTTTTCAGTGATTAATATAAGGCGGGCCAACGAATCTGAGCCTCCTCTTTGGCCTAATCAAAAATAACAATTCTTTTATAGGTATTAAAACCCAAACCAAAATACCAAATGTCTCAAATACTAATTAATAAAGTTAATTATGTCTAATACCTAATTTTCCTTTAAATAAATAATAGTGTCCATGCCATGCGAAGCCAATAATACATTTTTCATATGTCAATCACCTATCAAGCTCACATGAACCCAAGTCATGTGGTTTACGGGGCTAGCACGAGGGATTGTGGTGTGGAAGGTTACGGAGGTCCACAAGGCCCACGGAAGCTCTTGGATAATGGGGACTTTGGTGCTCGGGCTAGCTACTTGGGAGCACCAAAGTCCAAGCCTATTACTTTGAGTTCTCCAATGTGGGTGAGCAAATGAGATATTTTTCAAGCACTTCCTTTTACCCATAGGAAATAGTCATTTTCCAAATGCCTAGCTTTACCCGTTGGAAACAAGCCTTTTCCAGCACTCCCTATTACCCGCTGGAAACAAGCCATTTCCAGTGCTTCCTTTTACCTATAGGAAATAATCAGTTTATGGTACCTAGCTTCTTTTGCTGAAAAATAGCATGCCCCAGTGCTCGCTTTTAACCATTGAAAATAGGCTGGTCCCAGCACCTCCATTGGAAAAAAAAGGAAAACTCTCACCCTCTATAAATTGGGAGGCATTTGCTATGCAAAATCAACCTCTCTTGGTTGCTGCAAGCCTCTTAGCAACCATGAGAACTCATCTTCCTTCCTCCCTTCAGCTGCTACAAGCATTCCAGCGGCCATCCAGCCATCAACCTCCATTCTTTGGCTACTGCAAGCATCCCAACAGCCATCGACCAACATCTCTTGGTTACTCAAGCACCCCAGCAACCATCAAACCATTTTCCTTCCTCCCTTCGGCTGCTGCAAGCATTCCAGCGGTCATCCCAGCCATTCCTCAACCATCACAACCATGTTTCCTACTTTCTCGCCCTTGAAATCCATCATCTTCTCTATAAAGCCTCACCAAGCATAACCCCAAGCTTTTCCTTCCTTCCAAGCTATAAAAATCATAGCCTTCAAACATCAAGCTTTTCCTCCCATCCTCCTTCTCTTGAAACTCTTAAATCCATAAAGCCTCACCAAGCATAACTTCAAGCTTTTCCTTCCTTCCAAGCTATAAACATCATAGCCTTCAAATCTCAAGCTTTTCCTCTCATCTTCATCTTGAAACTCTTAAATCCCCAAAGTCATACCCACAAACAACAAATTATTAACACCCAAACTCAAGCATATCCAACACCAAGCCAAGCACATGCATTCTCATTTGCTAAACTTGTGGGTCTTTAGCTCCCACACCCCAAGCTCTCATGCCAAGCTTATATAATCTCAAACCAACATCAGCAAGTCATCTTCAACTCTTCGTCAAGCTACCGTAAACATCAGCAAGTCATCTTCAACTCTTTGTCAAGCTACTGGAAACATTAGCACCAAACACGCAGCCACTGGAAGAAGAACGGAGTACTCCCCTGGGACTTGTTTCTCACTCGGGATGCGTTGGGCCTAGTTCTCGCTAACTCAGAAAAAGGGGCAACGAAGGCTTGATTCATCACTCTATGGCGATCCAAGAATCAACAAGCCCGGACGAGCCTTCCAATGAAAAAGACCCCAACAGAAAGAAAGTGGGGTTTTCTTAGAAATTATGAAAATTTAAATTACAAGTTGAGGTGAACTTAAAATATGGGGTGAACAAAGAGAAGTGCGGGGTTTAAATAGAAAAACTCTAAAATAATTGTCTTTTGATTGCCCCACGGTTTAAATGAACTAAAATAATTATATATGGGGGCGGATCCGTGGCACTACGTTTTTTACACAAGTTTTGACACAATTTTTGAGCCATTAGATTACTCCACTTTCAATGGTTGAGATTAAATATTACATGGCAAGTAGTTTTAATTTTTTTAAATAGACAATCATTAATTTTATTTTCTCTCTCTTAAAAATAAAAGAAAACTTTCTCTCTCCAACCTTTTTGCTGGAAGATGTGATATCTCTTGCCTCTTTAATCTCAAATATTTATTAGGGTCTAATAAAAAAAGAATCTAATCACCAAAAACTAAATGCCCAAATACAATCCCACATTCGCACGCCTCTCTCTCTCTCTCTCTCTCTCTCTCTCTCTCTCCTCTTTAATCTCAAATATTTATTAAAGTCTAATAAGGACTCTTTTCAGTTTATCCTTCTTCATGCATAGCATATACGCAACCATGAATTCATCTTCGGTATAGTTTTTTTTATGTCAAAGCAATTTCTCCTATCTTAATACAATATTGCCTCATCAAAATGTTGGAGCACACACAAGATATTTCCTCCAACTCTCAGTGCATATCTTTGGTATGTTACCTTCATCTAAGATTTTTTTTCTTTTTTTTTTTTTTTTTTTATCTTTGTTGTAGCTCTTCCTGTAGACAATTAGGATTGCTGAATTTTTTTTTTTTGTTTTATAAATATGATGTTATATGATTGACAAACAATAATCTTTTAACGTAAGAATTATTTTTTAAAATCAGTATGAAATTTTATTCCATTATATTTCATCTTGCGTTAATATTCTGATACAGAGAGAATCATATTCTTTATTTTCATATATATCTTATTAAGTTGCATCGTTAAGAATGATTGATATGTTCAATAGGTAGAGGAGATAATTCAAGGGGAGAATGGTGAAACAAAAAAGAAAGTGACACAATTAAAAGCACCATATGCAGGGATGGTATTTAACACAATGGAAGAAGCAAGAAACTATTATGAAGAGTATGGCCGGCAAGAAGGATTCTGGATTAGAACTCGATCTTCCTCCAAGACAAGAAGGCGTTTAGATGAGGTAAAGAGTAGACAATTTGTTTGTGCACATGAAGGAAAATACGTGCCCAAAAATACAACACAGAAGGCTTCAGAAGAGAATGATGAGAGAAACATAAGTGAGATTGAGAATATGAAGAGAACGGGTAAAAATTGTTCTACGGTGAAATGTGGATGCAAAGCAAGTATGCGAATTAAGCTTGATAGATGGTCAAACAAATGGAAAGTTTCAAGTTTCCAAGACTCTCACAATCACAAGCCAGTTACACCGGAAAGAAGAATGAAAATGAAGTCAAATAGGATTATGCCGAAAGCAGCTAAAATTCTGACTGAAACATTTCATGAAGAAAATTTGCCAATAGCAAAAGTTCCTTCAATCCTTGGTGGCCCACATATTGGTTTTAACAATAGAGATTGTTATAACCACTTGAGAAATGTTCGACATAGACAACTGGATGGAGGTGATGCACAGTCAGTTCTTACTTACTTTAGGAAGAAGCAAGCTGAGAATCCTCAATTTTTTTATGCCATTCAATGTGATGAGAGAGAATTGATGGATTATCTATTTGGGGATAGACCCTAATAAATATTTGAGATTAGAGAGGCAAGAGATATCATGTCTTCCAGCAAAAAGGTTGGAGAGAATAAGATTTTCTTTTATTTTTAAGAGAGAAATTAAAATTAATGATTGTCTATTTAAAAAAATTAAAACTACTTGCCATGTAATATTTAATCTCAACCATTGAAAGTGGAGTAATCTAATGGCCCAAAAATTGTGTCAAAACTTGTCTAAAAAACGTAGTGCCACAGATCCGCCCCCATTATATATATATATATATATACAAACTTTAAATAAATAAATAAAACAAATAGAAAAACCACTCCAACGGTTCACACCCCGAGTTGTGGTGGTTTTCCAATATTATTTTTTACCTTTTATTTTTTAATCAATATGAACCTGAAAATTTAAAACAAAATTTTATAATTAACAAACTTGTAATTTTATAAAAGAAAATTTGGTATTTTTTTAGTCTGGGTTGTGGTTAAGGCTTAAAGGTGCCACCCATAGTTGGGGCCCATCCAGGACCACCTCATGGTTTAGACCCAAAAAAAAAAATAATAATGGGAGATTCACTAACCCAATATAAGAGCCCAAATTATTATAAAAAAACCTTATATAAAATGAACTTTAAAAACACATCCAAAGCTCATTTACAACATAACAAAAAGGCTTTTAACTTCTTTTAAATTACAAAACTGCCATTGATTTATTTAAACAAACTCAATCCCAAAATCTCGTAGAAGAGCCCAAAACACTTAATAGGGCATCAAAGTAATTTAATAATCAAAATTAAATTAAATAGGGTCAGCTGTCATTTTTTGGGTGTTTTTTGGGGTTGTTTATATAAATTAAATGGTGTATGGTTTATTTGTAGTTTTAGTGCTAAAAATGGATATATTTCTAAATATCTCTAAAATAATTGGGTTCAAATAAAAACTTCCCTGAAAGCTTGTAATAACTTGGAGAAATTGAATCTCACCCATTAACTATGACATAAATATTTAAAAATTAATTGAATCGTATTTATATCATGGGCGGACCTAGTTGGGTTGGGTTGGGTTGGATCATACTGAACTCAAATGGGTGAGCCATGCACCATGTCTAAATTTTAAATACATTGACTATACCCTTCCCATCAAAAATTCAGGCTGGGCCAACCCGCCCAAGATTACAAACCGAGCCAGGCTATGATCTCATGAGCTCAGGCCAACCCAATTTGGCCCATGGGCCGCGGGCTATACGATGAACCCTTCCCTAAGCATTCTTATGTCGTCTTTGTTGCATCATGCATAAACAATAATATTTTGACTGTACATTTGATGCAAACAAAAATGACAACACATAAGATTCAAAACTAACATTTCATTAAGGATGCAACTTAACCAGAAAATCATATTCCCAAAACACAACATAGCTTTCTAACCTGAGCATGCCGATTGCCAACTAAGATTTATACAATCCTATCGTAATTATAAGCAAACTGTTATAGGTTTTGATGATGCTATGTGGCCTCTACAAAGTAGTATACGTGTGAGCAACATGTTTAGATAAGAGATGCCATGCTATTTTTCCATCCAAAGGATCTACGCCTTGCTTTCGGGGGTGTGAAACTCAGCCCAAACATTCCCTTGAGGGCATGCCCCTGTTCTACGAACATCACGAGCTTCGCAACAATGGCAGCACTCTCCGTTACGTGGTTCATATCATTTGTGTTACTCCACAAGCGGTTGGCCAGCTGCAGCCTCCTGCGCTTGGAATTCAGTGCAATGCCCCACTTCTGGAAGAGTCTCATTCTCTCTTCTTCTGAAAACCTTTTCTGCATCAGCTTGCTTAGCATCTGTCTCTCACGACCGATAGCTCTGATGCTGTGTCCAAAAAAACATGCAAGGATAGGACAATTAGTTAAATAACATAGAGTTACAGCAATAATTCATGAACAGATATTTATTAATTTGTGCATGAAATATATGTTGCATTGAAACAAAACTCAAGTCCAAATTTTCATGGGCTCCGACAATGGTCTAACGGGTTGTAAACAGGTTTTTAACAATAAGAGAAACATTGTGTTAGATAAAAGAAAACGAAAAACAAGAGACAAGAAACAAAACTTGATTCATCTAACGAAAAGAAACTTGTTTCAAGTTATAACCAAAATACATTTTCCTTGATTAAATTTAGCATCTAAAAGCACTCTGAAATTCAGAATATAGGCCAAACTCTGTTAAAATACCATGTTACTAGCCTGCGTAGCAAATTCTAATGAAAATGACAACTATTGAACAGTTTTTATTTAAATGGGTAGCTACAGAAAGAGAGGAAACCAGGGGAGGGAGAGAGAGAGAACCTTGAAGCCAGTGTGAGCGCCTGACCATCTTCCACAGCATGATCTCCACGGGAAAAAGTTTCCTTGAGGAAAGAGAGTCTCCTAAGCTCTACCTCCATGTAAATGGAATCCGTTGGATCACCTTTGAAGAGCAAGAAAAAGTAGGTTCTGTGGACCACTGATATGTAGCAAGTTTCCCAAAGTTCAAGTATGGCCCTCTGCTGTCTCTCAAATTTCAGAGGCCAATCAAGTATTTCTGATACTTCCAGCATTGGATCTATTCCTACATCTTTCACATTCTTCTCTAAGTTTTCAGCTGCTACCCCAGTCTCTTGGTCCTAGCATGCACATACCGATCCATGTTAAACGAAGCAAAAAAAGGGTGAGAAGCTGACTCACCCAAATGCCTTAAAGTTCATATAAGCAATTTACTGGCTAAGAATATTGGTAAATAAGTTGTGAGAATATGCAACTTTAGAGGATTATGAATTTGCATAGTTCCATATCCACACAAGCCACATGAACCAGTTGAAATGTATAAAGTTCTTAAAAGTTGCAAAATTCTCCCCAACATGGAAATGCAAATGTTGCAATGCGCAACAGTCACAAATTCTTCCCAACTTTATTAACGTGAAAACTATAAAGTGTGAATATTAAGAGAGTCAGAGTGATGGTTAATGTTTCACATTTTCAGAAAATCATTCTAATTACTATAACAAGCACATTCAAAAAAGATTGCCATCGCTCAAAGCAAGATAGACATAAAATGGTATTCTTTTTGTTTGCTTTTTGGAAAAGTTTGGAAGTCAGGCACACTCTCACCTGACCATTGGCAAGTTGTTTGTCATACTCAAGCTTTTTGGCCATTTTCTTTAGTCCTGCAACAAAAGTATGGACACTGGTAATATCTTCATCGGCAGTCGCTGCTCCTAGCTCATCCACAGCACTCCCAAGGGAAGATTGAGAATCATTTCTTGACAACCTTCTGTTGGAATCATAATGTAATAGAGGAACCTTCCTCCCAAAACTTTCTGGTCTCCCATGAAAGCTTTTCTCAAACCCATTAGGTGGGGTTCTCTCCGATTTATCCGGAGAAGATGAGCCAGTCATGAGATTTGCTCTACAACTCCAGCTCCTAGTTAACTTTAGGCTTCTAGAACTTGACATATTTGCTGAAATATCATGCGGAAATGATTCTTCAGGGTAAGGACTACCAAGAGAATCAATGGTCATTTGTACATCATGTAGTCTCTGCTCCAACGTGCCATATGCAAAACCATTTTGCATCTGAATCCCTTCTCTATCTGCATTCACTGGGGTAGATACCAATTCTTGACCTGTTACCCTTGTATCCCCAGATGTCAAAGCAGATGTTGTTCCTTCATTGCCAATAGTAGATAAGGCAGGGGATCCAGAGTTCTTGTCCCAGCTTGACTCTTCCATCTCAATACAGCGAACTTCTTTGCAGTAGTCATCAGTATCTTCTGCAGTTCCACCTGCAGTTTCCTCAGGACTGCTCTCACTGTCTCTTTCATCAAAATGTGGATTGTTGAACTTTCTGACACCATTTGGATAATGAGAATCAACCACACCTGATGATACTGAATATTCATCATCTGAAACATCCCCTGCTTGCCATTTAGGATGATGATTGGCTGAAGCCTGAAAAAGAAAAAATAAGCAAGAGTTAGAAGAATAAGGGCATATATAACATGTAATATAACTCCAAAATGCGTAGGCAAAATTATGTACTTGTCTTGAATCATTATCATTTCCAACCATCCGTAGTAAATCCTCCACCCGTGATTGAGCAAGATCGCGTTGCTTTTTCAGCTCTCTAATTTCCTTCTCCATCTGCAAAAATGTGGCATGCCATGTCTTGGTTTAAATGCATTGGATCCAACACTTTCTTAAATCAACCATGTTTACAGATTCCAAATATGAGCATAGATAAATATAAAGCCTAGAGCACACTTACATCTAGCTGATGACTAGGTACATACATGTAAGTGTGTTTTAGATACTAGGTACATGCAAATTTCCTTGAAACAGGCAATTTGGTACATTATAACTGATGATTTCCACTGCATCAAGGACTCCATTGTGGACTTGGTTTTGCCAAGTACGATTGGTAAAATTTGTCAGAATAGGTATGTGCAGTATTTCTCCTTGAAAGAAAACTTGGAGAAACATGTTCGTGTTTGTGAAACTTGGAAGCAAACTCAACACATCTCAAATGCTGTCTTCTTGACCTATCTTCTGACAGAATTTTCTCCCACATTCTTAACTCATCTCATGTACTGCATTTTAAATAATGTCCTGTGATCTGCCACAGGTCTTAAGCACTATCTTTGTAGCTGTGTACATATATTTAATTCCCTTTTATAGGTGCTATCCCTAATTGTAAACTACTTCAGAAAGTGACTCATTACCTTTTCTATCTGAACATCTTTCTTTCTAAGTAATGTTGTGTAATCACAAGTTGAGGAAGGAGGGCCAGGTGTTCTCAACTCACTCTCCAATCTAGCCAGCTCTTTTTGTAAATGCTTAACCAGGGCCTTGTCTGACATGACTACATTGACCTGTGCTTTTGTAGTCACTTCTTTTGCACAACAAGCAAACAAAAGAGTGTTTCTAGTTTGCTCAACATGGCTTCGTGCAGGGCTCAAAGTGCAAATGATGGCAGTTCTAGCGTTACCACCCAAGCAAGGCTGCAGTATGCGTGTCAGCTTAGAATCTCTGTAATTGATGTGTCCATGTCTTCCTTTACTGCGTTGAACAATACAAGTAGATTTATAAATCATATAACATGAGTAAGTACGACAAAGGAGGAAACATAAATTGTTCAGAAGAAAGGTCAGTCAGTCAATGTTTGCAAAGTCAGAAATTATATGAGGTAAGTATATATCTTATTTTTCCTGGAAGTAAACAAAACAACACTAATTTTTTTTTTTTATCAACGGGGGAGTGGGTAACAAAACAAATTAATTAATCATTATACTAACCACCTTCATTTCCACTAGGAATACTTGTACTCAAATTTGTATCTTTAATAATAGCCAAGACAAAGGCATTGCTTTTGGAACCTTCAGGACATTCATCATAACTACCAAATTCAATAGTTTGTTAATTATCAGAAACATTACAGACAAATCCAGGAAATTATGATAAGATTACCCAGCATATCGGACCATTATTCTATTAACTTTTTTTCAGAAAAAAAAAAAAGGTTAAAGAGACATTTTCAGTTTATTAAAAAACAACAGGAAAAAAACGCAGATAATGATAAGGCATGTAATTGTAATTCAAAGGGTTTAGCCAGTTTTTGTGCCTAGTTGTAATTTCCCTCCAAGAAATCATATATTCCAGTGACATGGTGGTTCTAAACAATGATATAGAAAAAAGCTATCAGACTTGAAACTAAAAAAATTTATTACACATGTAGGTAGATAAACATAATACAACAGCAAATATCCACAATCAGTAATAATTTACTAGACCATTGCCTGCCAAGTCAACTTGGTATAGCGAATGACATAAAGAAAGGACGGACTAGACAACCTTAGCTTGCGAATAACAGTCCCGAGAGTAAGTAAACTGCGATTAATGTGGCTGCCTTCTTTTAATCTCGTCCCAGCTGATAATGCCTGAGCTGCACGCTCACTTCCTGCCAAGTCCACAAAATTCTGCAACAAACCCATGACTTCTGAATGTATTATCAACATGATTTTGGGATTGGAAACCATTAAATTAATTGAACAGATAATTTTTATCTATTGAACCAAATATCCAATCTATAAATAATTAATATATATACCACGCTAGCTGCAAGGGTGGTTGAATTTCCCTTGCCTAAGAACTCACGAGCAGAACTTTCAATTGCCTACACAAGTTAAAGTAGCGTTAAGTAGAAAAGTCTAAAGCACTGCATATAAAAATGAAAACCCTTATCAAATGAAATCCAGGAGGAAGGGCAAACCAATCTGATAATTTGATGTGATCTAGAGCTTTTCTCGTTCAATGCAGTCTCCCCTATCTGTCTTTGAGCTGCAATAATACACTAAAATACTTAAAATACAACATTTTCTGGTAAAGGCAGTATTTTCTAAAATGATTTACCTTCGCAGATAGAAAGGAGCTCCTTTAAATGGCTCCAGTCCCTCAGAACTTCCTCTGTGATTTTCTCTATTATAGTCCCCCGCTGATGAGAACAGAAAAGTGTCAAAGCAAAACTCATATACACATGAAAGAAATTATATTATAAGAAATAAAAAAATGCATCCACCTCAGGATCATCTAGCAGCCTAAGTGGAGTATTATCTGAACTTAGGAGGTCTCTAACAGCTTCATTGTATATCTCAATTGCTGAAAACTTTACAACAAATGCTCGTTCCTCGTGCTGAAAGCAATAGCAATCCTTAGATTAGTGATGTCTCCAATAAGATCTTTATATTATTAAGGTCTGTAAATAAAGAGCACAGTCAAGTAAAAAATTGCAAATAAATAACTGCATAAAATCATTACACATTTTTCTTACCCTGTGTATGTAGTCAAATATTTCTGCTACTGTAAACTCTGTTATACCATCCATGGTGTACGTTTTCCCACTGCTTGTTTGACCATATGCAAAAATACTTGCTGAAAAGAAAATCTTAGTGTAAACTTTCCACTAGTTGCATAAAGTAAGGTATGAGGAAATAGTTAGGGCCCAGATCTTTGTACTTACAGTTGATACCATTGACAACTGAAAGGGCAATTTGTTGGGCTCCTTCTTCATAAACCTGCCTTGTAGAGCAATCACCCCGAAATACTCTGTCTATCACAAAAATACGAACAGAGATAAAGAGATAAAGTAGTTTAGATGTTACCTTAAATTCATGAACTGTGATAAAACTTGCATTCCCAGAAATTCAGCTGGCAAAGGCCACTGCTGGGCATAATCATAGGCTTAACAGGAATTACAGTGAGTAACATTGTATACAGATGTCCCATTCTCAACAGATGAATATTTTCTTACCAAATGTATAGGCAGTTGGAAATGTAGACCCTTCCCGCAGTGTGTTTCGGTATAAGATGGTGGTGTCATTGATGCATTCCCAATCTGCTACTTCATTTGATGCAACCTCCTTCTCACTCAAGGGCCTTAACCTCACTAAAACTAGAATCTTCTCTTCGCGAGCACCTGCTCCTTGCATCTTCTCCCACTTCATTAGATCTTCCCCACCAATTGCCCCCATTATCTAACTTTTCCACCCAATGCTCTTCTCAACCCAACAACCAATTAATCGAAACTTTAATGAAAATACATAAATCAAAAATCTCAAAGTGGAAACACAAGCTCAGTGTTCAAATACTCCAACCCACTCTTGGCTTCCTAAAATGCAAGATGACTTAAATGTTAAAAGCAGGGTTGTTGCACTCTTCAAACATAAATTAGGCCTTTCATTACCACATTGTCTGCAACAACAAGCTAAATCATCGGTACTATCCAACCACCTCAGAATAACTACAGGTCACATCAGCAACAACAAGCTAAACCATGGGTTTAAGCATTTTAACCCAAGCATCTCGTTTAAAAATAAAATATATAAAGATTGTTAAAACAATAAAAACCCGAATCTGCCAATCACGTCCTATATCTGCACCCACAAGCCAGTCTGTGGCTAAATCCAACCACCCCCAGAAGACAACATTCACAAAGAAAGTTAATTATAATTAAAAGGTTTGTTAAAGCTTAATTCTTCGATTCTAAGCTTCAGTTCACTATATTAAAAATGAAAAATGAAATCTCTTTTTTTTTTTGGATGCTTCATCTAACAACGACCAACATGAATGTCAAATCCAAAGTGGCGACCCACTACTATGCTTCAACAGCAAGTAACGGAATCTCACTTAAAAAATCTTCAATATGCAATCAAAACGTGCAAGCTTGCAGAGAAAATGGTCCCCTAAAGTTCCAAACCTACCCAGATCATCATCATTTATTCGTTTTCACCTCTCAAAGTAAAGTTTCAAGCTTTTCACTGTACTTTTTTCTGTTTCTTTCACTAGCGCTAATATTTCTAACAAGTAGACAAAACCCAGATGAGATTTTACCTCCAAATTCTTTGTCGTTTTCACAAAACCGTTAGAGGCTCTCCAAGTGGATGGGCAATGTGGCTAGAAGCATACTAGACCACACTTGCCGACGCTTGTCGTTTCAGTCTGAGCTCTGAAGCTTATCTGCTACTCTGATTTGTGCTCTGCAACACCAAAAAACAACAAAATAAGAAACAAAAATTAACTAAGAATTAATGCATTAGACGTTGGCAGTAAAACCCAATTCCAACGGTTATTTATTTCGAAAAAAACAAAAACAAAAATATAAAAACCCAGAACTACAAGTGCCACAAAAATCCCTGTGTTATTTTATTACACTTTCAAAAAATGCCCCTCGAAATCCGATTTATTTACCTTTTTCGAATACAAACAAAACTCAGCGCTTCGGATTTGGAGCTTCTCTGGGATCCAGAGGAGGAGGAGAAGGAGCCATTGAGATAGCTTAGGAGGAACTTGAAGCAAACTTGAAGCAAGATTTACTGAAGAAGGAACTTTACTTCACTCGACGAATAAAGCGCAAAAGCAAAAAATAGAGAAAAAGAATGCGAGGAAGAAGAGAAAAAAGAAAAAGCTTGGAACCCGAAACGGAACGGAACGGCGTCGTAACGGAGGCCAGAGAGGAGCTCGATGTAACAGTAAAACTGGGGCGATTATATCCCACAGCCCACGATCTGAAGCTCTCTCTCTCTCTCTCTCTCTCACGCTCCCAAAGAGAGAAAGAGACGGTTGCTTTCGTTAACGTGGAGCGGGTGAAATTGCGGTTTTGCCCCTGGCTTTTGGCTTTCTCAAGCTGTGGGATGGCACGTGAAAAAGGGAAAGACGTTGGGGACTTGGGATGAATCAATGAGGGCTTCGGATGGGTGACACGTGGGGTTTTGTGATTCGGTGCCGTAGTTTCGGGTTCTGGAACTGTTCGATCGGGAGTTGATGACCGTCAGATGGTTTGGTTTTGGGTGGTTGTCGTCAACGGTCGGAAATGGACGGTGGATTGCGGTTGAGTACTAAAAAGGGAAAAGGTAGGTCATTAGTGAAACTGAAAAAGAAGGAATCATGTTTTACCAAAAAAAAAAGAGAAGGAATCATGTTTCGGTTACCCAAATTGACCCAAAAAAGATAAATAAGTAATGAATGTTTGCCTTTAAATTTAACAATCATGGATCAACATGACTTACCAAAAAGAAATCCACATCAACATGATTGCTTACCAAAGAAATCATAGGTTAACACCAAATAATTTGATAACTAATAGTTGGAAATAATTCTCAAAAAACAAAAAAATGTATTACATGTTTGCTTTTCTTTATTCTTATAACAAAAAAATTGAAGTTATACGATAGAAAATATATGCGGGTCAACTTATATGATAGAAAATATAAGTCAAATTGAGATCAACCCACTAAGACATGATTAATAAATAGGTGGGTTTCGGATCCTCCTTCCAATCCTTCAACCCATTTGCAACCCATTTAATTTTTTTAGTTTATATTTTTATAGGATTAAAATTAATTTTTTTACACTAAATTTATCTTTCCGTATAATATTCTCAATATCATTATAAATTTCTTAGAATATGTGAGTGACAATATTGATAAATACTTAATAGATTAAATGAGTTTAAATAGACTAAATTAGTTTAAATATGCTAAATAGGTTATGATGGTTAAACATGTCAAATGAGTTGGATGGGTTAATAGCTTAACCTAAATGATCAAACTCATTCAAGGGCGAAACCAGAAATTTTTCAACATGTGGGCTAACTAAAGTTATTACCTTAAAATCTAATGAATTTTTTTTTTTTCACTTTCAGTTTCTATAGACTTTTTTAGAAATAAAAGTAAATATTAAATCATATAAATCACGCTAATTCATAATTTTATTGACTAATTTTCAATATGGTTTTTTTTTCTTTTTATATAAGTGATATTTGTAGAGAAGGGAATCGGACCTAGGACGTCGAGTGCATGGTTCAATGCTAATTTCCAATAAGGTTTAACATAAAACAAATACATATTAATGAAACCAAAAAACACATATTATAAAATGAAAAATATGTTCGACAACACAATTGAAAGTGTACTTATTTTAATGTGTATTTTTATTAACGTCTTGCAACTAAACTCATAACATAAAGAATTGGACTTTTATGGACTAGTAAAAGTATAATGAATGGATCTGATTAGCAACATGGATCACGGACCACCAAATTTTTGGCTGTCAAAGGATCTGACATTGAACAAGATGATGATTTAAAATAAAGATTAAAAAAAGATGAGTTTTTGAGTGCTTGAGCCGGTTTGTCGGTTGACTAACTACCAAGTACCAACCTTAATGAAAAGATTGGGAGCGGGGCAATACTCACGTAGCTCCAAAACATCATCATATATTAAGAATTCTTTCACTTGTTTATGCTATATGCATGCCTAACTCACTGGGCAATTCTTCTCTCAACCAACTTCCTCTATTTTTAATTTTCTATATCTAAATAATTTGTCATTTATTATTTACCTTTTACATTACATTATTATTATTATTTTAACATTTAAGTTAACTAATAGCATTTCGGGGATTTAAATGTTTCACCGTTTAGCTAATGGAGTCTAGCACAACGGAAAATGATATTGACTTGCAGAATAGTGGTATCAAGTTTGAACTCCACAGCACCTTGTTAGTGCGTGTGTGAGAAACCTCTCTTATCTCGTAGTTTAGACTATCTCTTGTATTAAAAAAAGATATTCCATTGTTTAGATCTTTCTCCTTGTATAACTAGTTTCTTCGCGCATGAGCGCGGCATACCAATTGACTTTCTCTGCATATACAACATCTCAAGCATCGTCTTTATTTTTCTTCTTATTTTGCTGATGACTTCAAGCATTGTTCCTTTGGGAAAGCTGGGTCGTTAAAGACGTTCAACATCCTCTAACAACAATAATTTAAAAATAAAAAGTTCAATATCAACTACAAAACGTGTCCGTTTGTATGTGTGACCAAAAAGGGTTTGCTTTTTGCCAAATAGAACTACTTTTTTTTCTCTCTTCAAAATATACTTATGATGTGAGCAATAAGATTTTTTAATGTTTTTTTCAAAACATTTATGGTCGTTGAAGTAGGCCTTTTGAATAGATTGTGGATTCTATAATTCAATCCAATCCGATTAGAGGTTAGGATCCAATCTAATTTTAATTCAACTTACGTTGGATTTGATTGAATTTTGAATAATCGGCCTTGTAACCTAAATTTTCTAAATAAATATTGAAACATGAAACAAGTATCGTTAAATTTGTAATATATGTAAAAGCAAAAATAAATAATTAAAAAACCAGCCAAAAAATATGAAACCAATTAGAGTGGATTAAAATTTATATTATCACAAGCAAATTTGTCATCAAATTGACATGTTTGATAATTAATTCTGAGATCCAATCCAATCCAATCCATCAAATATAGGCAGAACAGAACTACGCCCAGAGCTATACTGGATTGTACCCCAAGGAGATTTTGGGGATAAAAAAATAAACATATATATATATATATATAACTTATTTATATATAGCCCAATATGTACTAACTTATTAAAGTCCAAAAAATCAAAGTTTTTATGAATTTAGTTGCAGAGCATCAATAAACATACACATTAAAATACGTACACTTTCAATTATGTTGTTAAATATATTTTCATTTTGATAAGAGCACCTCCACCCCAAAAGGCAAGGGCAAGGCAAAGACAAGGCAATGTTTGACACTATTCATGTGAATGGTGGCATCCTTACTTTTTTTGGTTCCACCCCAAAGGGCCAGGGTAAGGGCAAATACTATTCATTTTACTTTATTTTCTATTTTTTTTATACTTAAACAATTAATTTTGATAAGCTTTTCAGATAATATTTTCGGTTGCTACGTGTCACTATTTATTATAAAATTCTCACTTAAAATTTCATATAACATTTTCGGATAAAATTTTCAAATTAAATTTTTGGATAAGATTTTCGGTTGCCACGTGTCCATATTTATTATAAAATTCACATCTCACTCATCATACAATTGAAATACCTACTCACTCATCATACAATTGAAATACTCCCGGTCCTCATAGTCCGACACAATGAAGTACAAGAACGACTCAATCATTGGCGGAGGCGGTTCCACCGGATCACGACGTGGGGTAGTATTTTCCTTCAGAGGATGTAATAGTGCCGTTATTTCAAACACAGAATGCACCACTAGAACCAACTGTGAGCATTGTTCACTTGAGGAGCCATGTGAAATGGTTTTCCTCTTTTTTGTTTTGCCTTGAATAATCTATTAAAAAAATGGAATTGGAAATGCAAGAAATATATATTTTAAAAAATGACATTATATTGAATAAAACGGATTTTTTTTTTTTTTACCTCCCCAAGATTTTGACCTCTTCGGATATTTGTCCACGAACCACCAGCTTCGATGGAAGAGGTTATTTGTATTTTTGCACAAATGAAATTTTGTAGTAGAAAATTTGGTGTGGAAAGTGAAAAATATTGGAAGGAGATGAGTTTGTATGAAGATTTGATGTGGAAAGTGAATAAAATTGTTAGGTATTTATAGGGAAAAAATCCAGAATTTTTTGGTTTATTTATTTATTTTATATATAAAAAATTCAATTTTCTTTTCGAATTTTTTTCCAATTTTTTTAGCCAAAAAAATCAAGGCCTTTGGATTTCTGGAAAAAATTGCATCGGAGCGTCCGGGAAGCGCCACGTGGCGTATTCCCGTTGGGCCTGCCAGCGGTGACGTCACACTTACGTCAACAAGTGGAAATCAAAATTTTTTTGGATTTCTGGAAAAAATTGCATCGGAGCGTCTGGGAAGCACCACGTGGCGTATTCCCGTTGGGCCTGTCAGCGGTGACATCACGCTTACGTCAACAAGTGGAAATCAAAATTTTTTTACCGTTGGCACGTGAAATTCACGCACCAACAGTAAAAAAAATTTGAATTGCGCTCACTGATGTCAGCGCCTTCGGGCTGCAGCCTAGTCTGGATTTGCACTTGGGGTTGCCCACCCTGGTGAGTCCAGGGCTTGCCCGGGCTAGTGTCGTCGCGCTGGAGTTGGATTTTGGCTCTCGGGGGGCTTGTTGCCAGGGTAGGCCCTTTGCGCTGCACATGCTCTAATATGTGTTTTTTGGTTGCATTTAATATGTATTTGTTTTATGTTAAAGTTTTTTTTTTGTTGGAAGTTAAAGCTTATTGGAAATTAACATTTAGCTTTGCACTTAATGTCCTAAGTTCAATTTCCCCCTCATCCAATATCGCTTATATAAGAAGGAAAAAAACTTATTGGAAATTAGTCAATTGAACTATGAACTAGTGTGTATTTTTTTTAACAAAAAAAATATAAGCAATAGTCTAAACTATAAGGGGGATGGGGGTTTCTCACACACACACTACCAAGGTACCATAGAGATTCAAACCTAAGACCAATGGTTTGGAAGATAAAGTCATTATCCACTGGGCTAGACTTTGTGGGCGAACTAGTGTGGTTTATATGGTTTAATGTGTACTTTTATTTTTAGAAAGACTATAGAATCTGCAAGTACCAAAAAAATTGATCATTAATAAAATAAAAAATTAAGTTAATAACTGTAGCTAGCCCACCCATGAAAACATTTCTGGTTCCGCCCTTGCAGTCAAAGTCATAAAAATCGTTAAACACCTAAAATATATAATTATTTATATTTTTTTTAGTACAAGTGAT